GAGTCTCTAATCCTAGTGGTGGCACTTCCCCAGCCACTTCCACTCCCACCTCACACACATCCAACTTCCTCTTCTCAGCGACCCAATCGTGACTGGTCACAGGCACAATCGGGTAAAACCACTCCACCGGGAACCTTCCTAAATTTTAAGTTTTCACAAAGGTCTGGGGAGTAAGACAATACACCACCATACCAAGAAATGACTGCTGATGAAATTCTGGGCATCCAAGGCAGCCTCTGGAGGGTAGACTTTGGGGGGTGGTGCCCTCCTATCTAATAGCACCCCATTCTCAACTGGGGCTTGATATCTCTACTGATGTTTACCTGCTTGCCTCCAAGTGGGAGGCAGCTGAAACAGAGGCATGAAAGGCACACCAGGCCTGCTTCTGGGGACAGGATCTGTGGCACGTGTCCAGTGCACTCCTTGGTACAAAGAATGAGGCCAGGTATCTTTGGTGTACAGTTCATGATGAGACGAAGCCCGACGTGGGAGAAAAGGACGGAAGGGCCTCTGCTTCATGACGTTTTCAAGAGGGTTATGGAGTCTCATCTCCTACTTCTCTCTTCCCATCTTCTCTTAAACCCATGCCCTTGTTCGCTGAGATGCAAAGGTGTAATGCCCTCTCCCCTAAGCACTGGACCCAGGCATGCCTTACCCCCCCAGTGTGCTGCATCATCATTTGGTGCACTATGTCTTCCAGGGAATGCAGGATCCCTGAGGGGCGGGGGTGGGGGGTGGGGTTGTATTGGTTTGCCTACTGCTGCAGCCGGCATCTCGAACAGTGCCTGGCACACAGCAGAGGCAATAAATACTCGGCGAATAAAAAGGAAGGGAAATGTGCGGATTCCGAAGCGGGCCTGGTCCAGAGCTTTTCAAATCTTGTCAGGTGGGCCACGTGCAAATGGTAACAGCACCAATTAGGCATTTCTTCAGGTTTTTGGTATGCTCTTCAACAATGAAGGCTACTTACATGAGAATTCAGAGCATCCACGGGGGATCCCTGTTATCTCAGGGGGAGAAGGAAGAGCCAGTAGAATTGACCTATAGCTTAATATTTCCTTAGAAATAAAAAGAGGGGACTATGTACATCCATTATTATCAACACACACACACACACACACACACACACACACACACACGAAAAAGCGAACTTAAAGAAAATATGGTTCGATATTCACACATGTGGTTTCTCAGGGGTGGGCTAAGAATAGAGGTGTTTGCCAAATTATTACTGTATCTTAGAGATTCCTCAAGGAGTATTAACTAAACGACTAGATGAGACCCAATGTGAGGTCTAGTACTGTCTTTCAGCCAATTTAATATTGATTACCCATCGACTCTGGCCAGGCAACGTTTAAGATGCTGGAGGAACAGCAGGGAACAAAACAGGCAAGGGTCTGCTTTGGGGAAGCAGGAACCACGCAAGGGAAAATACACCAGTACTGTACCAGTCAGAAATCCGAGAGTGCAGGAGAACAAGGAAGGGGAGGGGTGGGAGGAGGAGCCAGTGTGCCACGGGTCTCAGGGTTTGGGAGGAGGCACAGCACGTCTCTGCACACCACTTCTTGAGGGATTCTCTGATTGGGCACAGTCAAATTTCTAGTCATTGCTATAACTCTGTCACAAAAACACTCCTATTTTTCCACAAGTCCTCTAATCCCGATTTCTGCTGCTCAGCGATGAAGTATCATCTAGAAGCAAAGAGAGCTCGTGATGTGAGCCTGGGCTGTGTCCTGAGGCCGCCCTGCAGCCCTGGCTGCCAGCGGGGCTCGGAATGCTCCCTGGGCACCCAGCGGAGAAAACAAGCCCACAACGAGCATTTGCGTAGTTCTCGCGGGTCAGGCCCTCAGGCGGATAGAGCCGAGGGCACACGGGAAAAGGCACAGCCCCATCTCCCATCAGTGCATTTTGGCCAGAGGAAACCACCACAGCGAATGAGCTGTAAGAGACAAAACAGTAGGAGTAGCTGGTGCAAGAAATTAAGCACCAGAAAAGGAGCTGCCTGCCAAAAACGCCTCGCTCAGCACAACAGGTTTCACTGCTGGAGACCGGTGCTTACTTATCAGCTTGTAAGAAAGGCAGAAACAGATCCTCCCCAGCATGAAACG